CCCTCCCTCCCAGGCAGACATGTACTGCTGCTGCTCGGTTGTTTATCCCATAAGGGTCGTCAGTACAACTTCAGAGTATATTTGGGGGTTTTTTTATACTTTGTAAAGGGGATAGGGACTTGTGTTTGTGCATATCCACATGTGTGCATGTACAGTATGTTTTTGTATTTACCTCTCAATGCATTCAGCATGTTCATGTCTGTACACCTGTGAGTGTTTACAGCTGTGTACGTGTCTGTGTAGTTAACCAAACAAATGAGAGTGTAGCACAAAAAAAGCTACGCTAGTCCCTCTGTGCGTTTCCAATATGTCTGATTTCAAGGCTGTTAGGAACAAAAACATCAGCCAGGTTTAAAAGTTCACCTCAGCTAATTACAAATCCCATCTGAGAAATCTGACAGCAGTTTCACTTAGGCAACCTCAATTACACGCGAACATGTGAGTATTCTCAGCCTGGATGAATCGTATTAAGGTATCACTAAAGGTATTAACCATCCCCACAAGAAGTGAAATAGAAATAGTCCGTGTCAATTTTTCAGGTTCACAGATGGGTGATCTTATTACCATAATATGTAAGCTGATTCAGCCAATATGAAACAAAACACTGATGAGGGGGAATGAGAAGGCAGAAGAGAAATCCCTCACCCGGAACGTAATCTGATATTCCAGCAGTCTGCTTTGAATAGAAATCCAAAACCAGCATAAACTCACCTACAATGTCAGTTTGTCAGAAACGCTCGCTGAGGTTTCATTTAATGCTTGTTAACAACTTATTATTTCCCATTAGCAACACTTCCCTGACGGAGCGCTGGTCAGACACTACAGCATCACCTCGCTGAGAAAAACGGTTAGAACCAGGGGAGTCAAGGGGACAACAAGGATTCACTATCAGACCTAAATGGAGGTCAAGGTAACCTGGAGGAAATTTATGCATGAGGTCAGGTGACCCTGATTTCATAGAAACTGTTAAACTGTAGAAACTGTTCCTTAACAGTACAATGATCTGAGGGATGGCTGGTCACAAAGTTCGCAATCACCAGGATCTCAACATGAGACTAATTCTAAGCACAACAAAACGCCAGAACACACATAGAAATCAATACATTTTTTAAAGGTGGTGGGGAAGGTGAAATAGAAGGAGTGCAGTTAACACGCACATCAGGTGCACAGCTGTTCGGCATAGAAGGAAATACCTGCACACTCCATTTTCATGGGGTCAAAAGGGTTAAAAAGACAAAGTGAACTTAACGAAATCCCAGAAAAAAAAATTTAGAAATACTCTACCCACCAACATATTATACCAGAATATCCTTACACACATGCATCAATTTTTTTTGCTTTTCCTATGGTATAGTATGAAATGTCAAGCTTTCACTCTAACAAAGGTTTAATCGAGGTTATGTTTTGGTGATAACTGTTGTATTGGACTGAAGTATATTGAGAGGTGTCTATTATTTTGTATATACCATTATTATATAGAAAGTAAGATCTTACAATACAATGTAATACAATAACACCACAAACTGGCCCACAGATTAGAATCAACCCCTCTCTGAAAATATAGAAAAAACTTCCCTGTAGTACTGGACCGCATTGCACCAATGTCTTGTTTTCTGGTAAATCTGTAATGTGTACATTTCTTCTATCTGGTGTGTGTCCTCCCAAATGTCACTTACTGTATTATCATATATCAAACCAACTGAAACTTGCTCAAACTGATCTAAAATCAGTCAGAGTATGTAGCAGTCTGTCCAGATAACTACTGGATTGCAAAAAAGGGTTTTGGCCTGATAGGACCAATTATTCCAAGTTGGATAGGCGTCCAGACGGACTGCCTGTCAGCAGCCTGGACTGACGCCAGATTGTGGTCTAATGAACGGCCTTAGGCAAGGAATGTCGTTGAGTGCTCACTGCTGATCACTGCCATGCAACTGCTTTGAGGTCTGAATTGGCCCCAACATTCACTTGCTTATATCTTATTTGTCTTTGATAACATTTTACCACTATAAGAGAAAATCTAATCCTATCTAGTAGAAATTGCAGATATGACAAGTCAATCCTCTTCAATTCTCTCCATTGAGATTTTGGACATCACATAATTTCCTATTTCGTGCTGTCAGTCACTAATTGTCTATTTAATTGTGATTGTGAGGCTGTCAGTAAATATTGGAGCCACTGTTGTTTGGCCTGACTTTCCCAGCAGGCCTGAGGGCAGCAAGCACCACTGACTGTGGACTGACTGGTGTTAGCTGGTAATTCAACTGACTGCTTTCCAGTGGAAGTGGTGGGACACTTGGTGGCCGTCCCTAATTAGACATCCCTTGTAGCTGACTGTGATGGAATATGACAGTGGTTCATTAAAGCATTGTCCTGGTGATGCTTGCTCATAAATGCTAGCCTGATTGGGGGCAAACTCATTAAATAGCAAAGTTGCTTTTCATCAATTGACTGGTGGTTCAATATGACAGTGTTAACTGAACCAAAGCATTGCTCTCTGCCCTTCATCCCCTAACGAGATGAGTAACACTGCCGTCCATAGCTGGACAGACATTTATCAGTGTGATGAATCATTTCACAAACATGAATTTCTGAATAAGTTTCTGTGTGTGACATGACTTCATTATGTGTTTTTGTCAGATGTAGTGACTAAATAAGCTGACAATCCATTAGGATCAACCAATCCCAAAACCAGCTAATGCTAATAAGTATGGGGCTGAGCTCTGTGCCTCTGTGTCACAGAACTCCATTTTGTATTCCAAAAACACATACTGTTGCACTTTGGTTACATTTCTTCATTGCAATGAACATGAAGAGTGAGAGTTTATTCCTTTGAACAATGTACACAGATCAGTCATAACATTGTGACCACCATGCGGCTGGTCTCTGCGGCTACGTAGCCCTTTACACAACAAACTGTGATGCACTGTATGTTCGCTCCCCCATGTGCATCAATGAGCTTTGACTGCCCAGATAGGCTTTTGATAGGTACTGACCACTGCAGACTGGGAACACCCCACAAGAGCTGCAGTTTTGGAGATTAAATTAGATTTTGCAAATTAAAATAAAATAACACCAGCTTGATTATTTAACATCTGCAAAATCACCAGACTGTGTTTGAAATTATGTTTTATCAGATGTATCTGAAATAACAATACAATAGCATGTGACCCCTCACTATGAAATGTCAAACTGAGGCTTTGAAGCCAAAACCTATTCCTTCCATAGTGCAATGACAACCGCAATAGTTCATGTTCAATGGGTCTGCTTACAACAGACTTTAATAGCTCTAAACAAATGGGTAAGACAAAAAGTGAAGCAGACAGAAAGAGCGAGGAGGAGTAGACTACTGAACATGTCTGATTCAGAGCAGATGTCAAGGGAGCTGGACTTCTTATGATATTCAGCTGTTGAACCTTGAGTGGTTGTTTGGTTTCGATAATGGCTTTCTATTCACCTTTAAGAAGTTTGAGGCAAGTGCTTAACCTCTATTCCAGGTTTTCTGGTTCCCCGTAAGTGTTTTGTGTCATGGCCGACAAGCAGACAAGCAGTCAGTTACAGCCACATGGATGGAATAAATATAGCCTGTTGTACTCTCTAGCAGAAGTGAAATATTACTTTATAGAGACAAACCATATACATTGATTATGGTTGTGTCACTAAAAGGGCCATCGCCTTAAAGGACGAAGGTGTGACTTTCAGAGGACTTTAGTGTAGTAGGCTGAGCCTGCTCCTCCTCCCAAATCGAGATATTGTACCGTCATCACAAGTTCCCACCCCCAGACACCCTGAGACAAGAGCCACATCTTTCAAAAGACAAAGCTTTATATAGGCATACCCCTTCATTGGAAAAGATGAACCTGTGTCATGTTCTTACCTTTATAGTAGCGGTTAACCTTTTTTGACTTGCAACCCCTTAAAGTGAAGCAACATTTGCCCATGACCCTTTGTTGCAGGCTGTCTATAGTATCAGTTTGCGAGCAGTTCAATCAAAGAACACCCTTTTGTCAGATTGTTTCATTTGGACAGTTTTAGGGAGGCCTGAAGAGTTAAACTATCCAGCATTTCAGATTGAAAAAAATCTAAGATTGGAGAAAAATGTTTTCTTTAATCATCTCACCCCCTCAGATTTCGTCTTGCAGGAATCCCTACCAATACAAGTGACCAGATACACCCGACGGCCATGTAAAGAAATTTTGGGATACTAAAGCCAGAGAAAAAGCAAAGCACAGAAAAACTCTGAATATGCACCTTCTTATCTCTGATTTTATACATCAGGTAAGTTGAAGAAGGCTGCATTCAAATGAGACAGGCCTTGTTTATCTGTTATAATGTATTCTGTCTTCAGGAGGATGTGACCACTAAATGGGTGCATCCATCAAATTCTAGGAGAAAATTAGGGCACAGTTCTCTGCTGGATTGTGCTGGGGTCTATGTAACGTGACAGCCAGACCCATATTAGCTCTTAAAAGCTCACACGTAGAAGAAGTCCCTAAATATGGGACAGAGCTTCTTTTTTTATTTATGCACTTTGTAAACAACTACATGGAAGTTTGAGTGAACCATCGTGGAATACCACAGGCTAATACTGACAACACTGTCTCCGCACATTCCAGTCAGTTGTTTGAGAACATTTTACCATCTCTTCACATCAAAAGAAATCCACAGGCGGTCCAGATTTCTCCAACTTCTGCTGTAAATCTGTCAGAATCCCCAGCAAGGACAGTGCCGCCTCTCATATACTCTGTATGTCATTTTACATTTCACAGATAAAGTTTTTTTTTATCAGCACTTTCCTTCCAGTGACATTTAAGGCTAATATTGACCTTGATCACTATTGTTGCACTTTCCATAGAGTACAAGGAAATGGATGGCTTGTAAATATGTAATTTATACACACACTATCTCTTTGCACGTGTGGGTGAGAAAGGGTGCTGTGTGCATTCAAGTGTGTGCCTCAGAGTGCGCTTATTTAAACAAAGCATACCCCATTTCATAGACAGCAGAAAAGATAATGTCACATTACTGACAGAACATAATGTAGCCAAATGCATCTGAAAAAACACACACCATTTCAGCTGTAGCCATAGAGATATCAAGGAGTCGTGCACCTAACCAGTATTTAAAACGCTTTCTATGTCTGACTGTATGCATTTGCATTAGCTAAAGCCCTTCACAACACAGGGCCAGGGAATTGCATGGGTGCCATCTAGTGCCTTCAAACCTCAGTCCTGAATCCAGCAGATTGGGTAAAACCTTGTCATTTGTAAACTGTATAATAAAAACTTCACTACTGCTGAGGAAAAAATAACTCACTTTAGATGAAATCACAGGTTCAAACTTATATTTCTAGCATTTACAGGAAGTTGTTTACGTTCTTAAATGTTAGCTGGATTGAAAAGGAACATAAATGGCATTTTAAAATAAAAGCTTTGCAGCATTAAAGGTGAGCCTATTTTACCATCCTCGACCATATTCTTGAACAGAAGTTGTTTTTATGATCAAAGGCATATTTGAGGTGACCGGTGCAAACTGTGGCATACCTCCTCTGATTGCTGTATCCTTTTGAGCCTCCCTCATTGAAACAATGATAGCCTCATTCAAGTTAGAGGGCTATTGACATTGACAGGACTTGAACTTTATTCGAGTGTGTTATAATATTAAAACTGATGATGGCAATTCATAGACTGAATGTGTATGAGTGTGTGTGTGTGTGTGAGTGTGAGAGAGAAAGAGAGCGAGATAAAGATTGAGCGAGCATGCACTTGTGTGCCACAAAACATCTGTTTTGACTACAGCATTCCTCCTTCATCTGCCCTTTAAAAGGAAAACTACCAATTTGTTGCAAATGAGCTACGTCAATGTGAACTGTGTTAGCATCTGGAAACTGGGAAACAAAGTTCTGGACAGACACACTTTCTCTTACTCTCTATCCCCTTTCTTAAAAGTAGGAACATCTTTGTGAGCAATGACAAAACAATGTTGGTATTCTTTTTTTTTTTTTTTAATATCGCCACAATATTTGAATATGGGATTCACTGGCCTGTGTGTGTCTCAAACAAACTTTCCACTATGGTAGACCGTAATGATTGATAGTAATGATGACCATGTCTTCATCAAAAATGTTGGTCGATTGCGTGCTTAAAATGATGACCAGCGACCTTTCGTGGCCATGCGAATTGTTTCCAGGCAAGAATGAAATTTCAACCTCAAAGATTCCCCTCTCTCAAAAGAAAAGGCTGAAGCAGCGTTCTTCTTATAGAGCAGCAATGCCTAATAGGAAGGAGGTGGAGGTGGATGGTGGGGTGCACTTGCATGTGACTGAAACACATTAACCTTAGACTCAATTATAGAGGTTTTAGATCAGAAAAATGTTTATAGTCATTTTCCAAATTGTTCAAATGAGTTGTTCTGGATCCATTTTGTTGGATGAGCCCTTCATGTATTTAAATGTGCTGAACCCCCTACAGCATGAAGCTAACACATCCACCGCCACTAACTTTTCCTGGTATACTCTGTGATTTCTTATCTTCTCTGTGGATTGGAAACTTCAGTTAAGTATCCTGCTACCTTAGTTCTGACTTTCGACAGTGACGTTAGCTTGAGTCACAGGTAATATGTGGCCCTGTCACTGCCTGATCTGTCAAGCTGTATGAACTGTCTAGATGACGGATGATCTCTGTTCATTTCTAGGTCACCAGGAACACTAAAAATGCTCCATTAACTGTATAGCATGATTTCAAAATAACACAAAGAGTTCAGAAACAGAATCAATGAGATATACTTTTCTATATACATGTAAGACTTCTGAGACTCTTTGTAATCAGAAAGCAAACACAAATATTAATGTGTGCAATATTTGTGTTTGCACACTTAGTTGTGTCCATCTGTATGCTGAGTGGTTCCAAACATGTTGCAAACAGTCACTGCTTTGCCAAAATAGGGCTTTGGTGTTATACCCTCCTCGAAGCTACTCAAAGATAATTGTTTTCCCAAGAGATATTTTGGCACAAATATTAGCAGACAGCATAAAGGTAGATTGTAGCCTCTGTTCTCTGTAGAAGAGAAAACTACATTTGTTTACAGCAACGTCTTGTTGCTGCTGTTTACAGGAATAAGAACTATCTTGTCAAAACTTTGACTGCGATGATTTCTGGCTATTACGGCTAGCAGGGCTTTCTGGCTACATTCTTTCCTTGGGTACATTAATGATAGTTGCGGCACATAGATTGACATTGTATGCAGGAACAGACTTCAGCACTGCGTGTGTGTGCCAGAGGGGAGAGGGAGACTCAGGTGGCGACAGGATACTTACAATAACATGTTCCTCGGAGAGGGTTACCAAGGTAACGGTTCTCGGAGTCACATCTGGAACAACACAAGAAAAGGAGAGACAGGTGGAAAAAGAAGAGAGAGAAAGAAAGAGTAACGACATTAGCATTCAACAAGGTCTGAGTATTTACAAAGACACATTTCGTGAGAGTATGGTTGTGTGTGTGTGTGTGTGTGTCAGGTGGGCCCTTGCTGCAGGTATTGTCTTCCCCCACCTCTTTGCAAGGTGATTTCCCTTGACAGTCCTGTCTAGCCATAGCAGCTCTCTTTTTCCCAGGGGCCCACACAGACACATTACAGAGACACACATAATTATCAGAGAGAATACTGGGAACTGTAACATTTGAGAGAGAATACAAAAGTTTATAGATGCTTGGTAAAAATCTCAGATATGTCAAGCTAACCTCCTGAAGTATCCTGTTCAAAAACTGATTTCATGCTTCTGCGAGGGGATCAGAGTGAGATCACCAGTTTAAATGTCTGGACAGGCGGGAATTGCTGATTAATTGTACGCAGAGAAAGACTCCACCAAAATCTTTTTTCGATATCAAACAAGGACTCTTTAGAAGCTTGAATGACTGAAAGGTTTAAAGGTTATACAGTATATTTAAGATTTAGAATGTTAATATAGCAGCCAACAACTATTTGCGATGTAAAGATATAGTGGAGCCATGGTGTCCTCAGCAGAGAATGATGTCACTATCCCTCTGCCTGCGTTGCTATCGCAGTTCCTACATAACCAGTCTTCTCTGTGTGCAGCTGAGTAGAGCGAATGAAACTGCGGTCTACCTCTAGGGAATTAAGGATTTATTTCAACAAAACCAGTGCTGGTGCTTGTTGGAAAGACTGTGGAAAGACTAACAAAGACGGTTATTTTTTTCTGTCCTATTCTTTTGGTCTGGGATAGTACGAGTGAATTAATGCTGCACTCGCATGGAATCAGCCAAACCAGATGCCATGTTAGTGGATGAGAGCAGGAACGTAATCTTAAGTGAGGCTGCCAGAGAACAGCAGCAATGGTAACGGTAATCAAAGTTAAAATATTTTAACTTTTTGCCATTCTCTGTGACAGTATTTAAAACTGGATGTTATCCTCAAACAAGGAGAAAACAGACAATTTGGACAAAAAGACACTAATATTTAATACATTCATAAACTAATGTTCACAAAATAATTGTATTTAATATATTTAGTCCATTCTTTGTAAACAATACGAAATCACCGTAGCAACATATCGTTTGTTTCGTTTTGCCGTACTGCCATTCCATTAGACGTCTGTCTGAATCCATGTGAATGCCGGAATAAAGCTGCTCCTCCATGGACGATGACAACTGCATTGAGCTTGAATTAGTGACAAATGCATCAAAAACTCACCACAAACTTCTTAAACAACTCCTGCATGATCCTCTTCTCTAATGTCGATACATATGCTCAGTGTGCTCCAAAACAATCATTGCCAATACATTGCTAAACACAAAACTTAGGTTGGATCTACGGAGCTATATGGGAAGGCAATGGCTTGTCGCAGAAGTAGTATCTATGTTAAGGAGAAACCTCTCAAGGCCTGAGTGTGAATATTAAATAAGACAGATTTGGTGTGGAGTATTCTTTTGTGGTAGCTGTCATAGCTTTTTTAGTTCCAACTCATACGTTTTGCTTTATATTCATATCTTTCATTCAGATGTTTGTTTGTCTATTTGGAATGAATTGGCATTGGTTAGTTGAAAACAAAATACTTGACATACTTTTGACAATGGCAACAGCAAAACATCTTGACATTTTCGTTTCACTGTTATTATGGACATAGTTTTCCAAAAGAATGTGCATTGCGTAAAAGATGCTCATCAAGCCCTGCTAGTCACTCAGACAAGAATCTACTCAGCTTTCCATTTGCATTTAATTTTGGCATTTCAGCCATTTCTCTGTCCTTCACTTTGACCAGAGAGAGGTTGACTCTCTTTTAAAAAAAGACACACATTTGTTGATGGACAGTAATTGACTGTGGTTAAAAGATGTGACCTTTAGCTTAAGAGGAAGTCCCTAATGATCAGTAAGCTCCGCCGCAACACAATTAGGTGAAGAATATAATTAATTTTTTTCCAGTACAAATCTAATGAATTTTTCAAAATATATAATGGGATTTCTATGGGTTTCAAAAGGCCCCATGGTCCAGGAACATAAGGGCTCTAAAGAATAATGTACATTTTAACACTCAGCTAAAGTAATTAAAGAAAAATATCAGGGTTACATAGTTTTTTCCCCACTTAACATCGAGAAATGACGTGCATGCTTTTGAGGCCATTAAAGTGTCAAGATGGATGACGTGTACCTGAAGCAGTTCAGATCACAGATAGAAAAATTATTGCCTGGCAGAGAGAACAAAAGCCAGAGTTATTACATTTCCAGTGTGATCTGAATAAAGAAGAAATGTTTAAAAATGTAATTGTTAGGACAGCATGTAATTGTTATTGTTATTGTAACTATAATGTCAGGACATTAAACATATCTTTAAAAAGTGCATCACTCTGATGGAATGGTATAAATCTTTTGTGTGTACGAGTGGGTCTACATGACTTTCATCTGGAAGACTTTAAAAAGCAAAACAAAAAGGGTTTTTAGTGACATTGCAACAGCTTGCTGAAATGCTGTATCGTAGCCATACAAAAAAGAAAACATGCTGCTTATCAAACCCATATGCATTTGACAAGCTTTACCAAATATGGACAATAAATCATCCAAAGCACCCCACCGTCCAAGTGCTGTTTCACAGTGTAACAGAAGAAGGGTGGGAGGATTTAGGAAGACAAGGCAAGGTAGGTTGGGGAAAGAATGAAGCTAGCAAAATAAAACCACATACAGGAAAAGAGTGACTGAGGAAAAAGAGGAACAAGTGAATGGGAACAAGAGGGCATGTAAGGTTTACAGGCTGAATGTTTGTGAATTCTCTTGTAGTGCTGCAGCAGGTCACAGAGCAGCACTGGATGCTGAATATTTCATCCTTCTATAAACTCTCGCCAAGGACGAGGCCTTAAACCACAGCTGCCTCACGGAGCTTCCATCCTGAATCGGGAGTTTAGAAAGACAATAAAACAAATAAAGAAGCATCATGATACTTTTGGTCTGATAGTAGTGTGTGAATCCGTTTAAGAGAATACTTGATGCCTACACACCTACATTATACACCGATCAGCCATAACATTATGACCACTGACAGGTGGAGTGAATAAGTCAGTCAGTGGGTGGCTGGGATATATTTGTCAGCAAGTGAACATTTCGTCCTCAAGTTAATGTGTGTGTTAGAAGCTGTTCCCAGTCAGTAGCTATCAAAAGTGCTCTAAGGAAGGAAAAGAACCGGAGACAGGGTTATAGGTAGCCAAGGCTAACTAATGCACGTGGGGAGTGAAGGCTGACCCGTGTGGTCCGATCCAAC